TGATGCTGTCCTGAAGGTCCTGTCCGAGACCTTCCCAATTTATGGCCCCAATAGGTCTGGCTACTGGTCCCTACCCGGTACGGCATTTCCTGTTGAAGGAACCCACCAATCCTAGCCCTAGTGGCTGCAAGCATCCGATCAGATGACCTTTATCCCCAAAGACCGGAAAGCCCCGACTCAATATCTGCTTTCCGTCTTCAATCTCGCTGCTATGCCTTTGGCATGCTAACAAGGCAGCCCTGACCAATTGTCGGCCAACCTTTGTTTTATCGCAGCTAGGCTTAAGCCTCTCTGATGATGGCGATGCTGCCTGGCAGAGCTTCTTTAGCCATTGGCATTCGATTATCTATTCACCAGATCAAGCAACCTTTGAACAGCGGGTGCAAGAGCTTGAACAACAGTATCTGCCTGCCTATGTAAATGAGGTTGTATATCTGAAGTCAACGTGGCTCAACCCCTATAAGCAGAAGCTTGTAAAAGCCTGGGTTGATCAGCACCTTCACTTTGGCACTGTTGTTACCTCTACAGTTGAAGGTATCCATAGCATGCTACAAAGCTACTTGAAGACATCTAAGTTAGATCTCTTTGAAGCTTGGGGGGCTTTGAGCCGGGCTTTAGTCCATCAGCTTGCTGAACTTCATTCGAATCAGGCTATGCAGCAGGTCCGTAACCCAGTAGAGCTCTCAAAGCATCTCTATTCAGGTGTACAAGCCTGGGTATCTCACTATGCCTTGCGAAAGGTTGAGGAACAAAGAAAACGACTTTTGGACACTGAGGCACCTTTACCTAATTGCACAGGTGTTTTTACTCGAACCCAAGGGCTACCTTGCGCTCATATCCTTCAAACCTTACAAGAACAAGGTCAGGCCCTTCGTCTTGAACATTTTCATGAGCATTGGTATCTCAATCGTCCTGGAAAGCCACAGCTGCTGCTTGAGCCTCGGAATCGTGTGGATGCAAGGGCTGCTAGATCCACTCTACCAGCATCAAGCACTAAGAGATACCCAAGCTCTTTTGAGGCTGTTGAGGCCATAGGCAAGCGTAAGGCGCCACCAAAGTGCAGTGGATGTCATACAGTGGGCCATAGGATGACTTCAAAAGCATGCCCTCTTCGGCATCAAGAGCTCTTGGACAAGGCAGCCGCAGATAGGCAGGTACAGGAAGCCTTGCAGGCACAGGAAGATTTTCAGACCCTACTAATGGCAGATGAGCAGGAATATGCAGCCTTACATACAAAGGCACTTGTTACCTCACCTACTGCCTCACCTGCTGCCTCACCTGCTGCCTCACCTGCTGCCTCACCTGCTGCCTCACCTGCTGCCTCGCCTATACAGACAGTCACACGATTAGCATATGATAGCCCGCAGGCTATCTATGAGAGATATGTTGTGGAAAGAGAAGCCTGGTATAAGATGCAGCCTCGAGGCGCTATCAAGACTAACCAACAATATCGAAAGGCACAGGGACTGCCTTCACGGTACAGCAAGGCTGATTATGCATGGTGTTGCAATTGGAAGCAGATGAATAGTGGCTGCTTAGTGGGATCAAGCCGACGGCCATGGACTAAGGAAGAGATGATGGCCTATTTAGATTGGACTAAGCTAGAAGATCAACGCGTTGAAGATCAAGTACGGAAAGAGATGGAAGCTGAGGGCTTTGCAACAAGAAGACGGGGCTTGAATGATATTTGGAAGGCAGCTGCAAAAGATCATGTTGAACAGCAGCAGAAGTATTGTTAGAAGGGTTTCATAGTTCTATTGCTGTTTTACTGCTATCCTGCTGCTGCCCTGAGTGAAGTTACCGATCAGAATGCCGCTGCGCCTGCTGGCGAGGCTTAGTCAGGGTGCGCGAGTTTAGCGCACGGGGTGCGTGAGCCTAGGCCGCGCCATCCACGCCAGGGTTCCGTGGAATGGATGCGTGGAAATGGAAGCAGGGGTATGGACTGGTAGGGGGTTCCTGGCCTGGCCCCAAAAATACCCTGTAATTCAGGGTGGGCCAACTTGGTTATGGTCGGTAGAGATCTCAAGTACCTATATACCATGCATTTTCACATACAAAGTTATCTTTAAACAGAGCATAACAGCCATGGGGTCGTGGACATTTCGCGTCAAGGTGCCACGTTCGAACGTCTCCATGCAAGTGCATTCTTGCAACTGCATTCTGTACCGCGTAGAATGACTGAGAGCCCAATCGTCAGCTCTATGGTGCTCGAGTCGCCGGACCAAGAGGGTAAGAAGAACTCGTGGGACCTCTTCCCTTGGAAAGACTTCTCTGGCTACACGCAATCCCAACGCTGCGCGTCTACATAGTCGTGGATATGGCAATTCGGCTACGATATTGAGAAGAGCGATGACGATAAAAAGCGGCGATGGGTTTGCAAGGTCTGTGTTGACAGTCGCAGGCCAAACCCTCATTCGACGGCCTCGAGCGGTACGCAGAACGCGGAGATCCATCTCTGGAATGACTACAAGGTCTGGGACCCTTCCGGAATACCGAAGCCGCCCAGCAAAGCAAAGGAGGAGACACCATCGAGGAATATCGCCGAGATGATGAAGCTGAATACCCGTGACGCGCGAGAGCAGCAGATTGCAAACCAGATCATTGGCCGTTTTGATCGACTAGTCTTCCAGCGTTTGGTAGTCTCGTGGATCATCAACAGCAACTCTTCTTTCCGACAAAGTGAAGATCCATACCTCCGCGCCGCTTTCGAATATCTCAATCCACTCGTGAAGACAACCGAAGCGCATATTACCCACAATACCGTCCGCAGGCGTATTCTTCAGGTGTACGAGGAAATCAAGGCTGAGATCAAGCGAGTATTAGCGACAGCTCCGGGGTTACTTCATATTGCATTCGACGGTTGGAGGTCCAATAATCGCCACGCTTTGTATGGAATCTGTTGCTACTTTCTCAACACCCTTGGCCAGCCAGGAAAACTTGTGCTTGGCCTTCCTGAGCTTGTCGACCGCCATTCTGGGGACAATATCGCCGCCCACGTTGTCGAGGTCCTTCGAAGCTACGGCATAGCCCACAAGGTGGGATATTTCACACTTGATAACGCCAGCAATGACGACACGGCGATGGAAGAAATTGGAAAGGCGCTCGGTTTCGAGGGTAAAACGCGGCGATTGCGCTGCTTTGGCCATATCCTCAATCTCGCCGTTAAGGCACTTCTTTTTGGCCATAATTACGAGGCTTTCGAGGACGATATCCAAGGGAACGAGACCCTTGACGCGAAGGCCCACGAGCTATGGAGACAGAAAGGACCAGTTGGGAAACTTCATAACCTCATCTTCTGGATCCACCGCTCAGACTCGCTTACCAATCTCCTCCGGTCTCTTCAGCTTACCGCGTACAGCAAGTCTGACGATCCGGTGGTTCGAGCGAAGAAACCTCTAGATGTTATCATTGATGTGGTTACCCGTTGGCTTTCCACTCTTTATATGATTCGGCGTGCCCTTCTCCTTAAGGACTTCCTCGAGGACCTTTGGTATGAGCAGAAGAGCGAGTGGGAGCCTTAGGGAAACCTTTGGCTCTATGATTGATGTGCTGGAGGTGTTCGAATTCCTACTTGGGAAGCTCGAGGACGCAAAATCGCATATTAAGAGTCATCCTGAACCGGAGCAATTCGGTGTCAATATCAACCTTGGCTGGAAGAAGCTTGATAAATATTACAATACTTTGAGGGATTCTCCAGTATACTACGCCGCTGCCGCCTTGCACCCAAGACTACGATGGGACTATTTCGACGAGGTTTGGGGTCAACAACATCCGAGTTGGGTCGATGAAGCGAAGGATATCGTGCAACGTCTTTGGGATACGGAATACAGAGACCTACAGATCACAGTCACGTCTCCTGAAGGCCCGGTTGTAAAGAGGCGAAAGACGACCTTGTCCTCCTTTGATCGGTATCGTAACCGCTACCGTCAAAGCCAACCGTCCGCTGCTCAAGCGGATGAATATATCCGCTGGCAGGCCAGTGTGTCTGGGAGCGACAAGGACATCGCAGACCCAGTTGAGTATTGGATTCTGAAGAGGTTTGAGTACCCGAGGCTATCTCGAATGGCCCTTGGCGTCATGACAGTGCCGGCCATGATCTCGGAGTGCGAGAGACTGTTCTCCGCCACCGGGTTGATGGTCACGCCCCTCTGAAACCGCTTAGACGCTGGCACGATTGGGCTAATCCAAACGCTGCGATCTTGGTTACGCGCAGGCATTATCGAAGATGTCGGTAACATACTGCTTGACGATACAGCGCTGGAGGAGTATGTTGAATGGGGTTGTTCGGATGAATGTGCGGTGGCAATATACAGGTTCGGTAGCTTCAAAAATTGCCCGAATAGGAAACCCGATTTAGTGTGACAGTGGTCTTCCACGGGTTCAATATTATGGACATCAATCCACGGATAGCCCTGTGGACATCAATCCACGAGCACTCTGCTGAGTAAGCCGTCAATTCAATCCACAAAGTCGGATATTGACGTGGATGGATTGATTCCCTACCCAGTCTGGGGACATATTGCCCTACATTATAGGCTCCAGGCTTAACCACGAATCGTCACCCTTGAGTTACCAAGGGGGTACTAAGAAAAGGAGGCTAAAAAGGCCAGAAGTAGATAAGTTGGAATCCTGAACGACTCCTTTTAGACCAAACGTATTCTTGTTACAAACACACCAGCCAGGCGGTATTCGGCACCGGTGTCGCATAAATCGATAAGGCCGCCGAAGCAAATCAAGAATTCCGTCAATATCATTACGACCATCCCTAAGCTACCAAAAAATGAGAAGGAGCCTACTCGCCGACAGTGACTGTAAGATAGACCTTGCCCTCATGGAAAAACTATTGAGCAAACGGTATGCGATTTCTATGCTCTCACACATGGCACTCATCAATCGTTCACACTTCCTGACTTTGTCATCTTCCATCAAACGGCCGCCTCAATGACATCATATTGATCCCTGACATCCTTGGGAGGTGGCGCTGGGATCGTGTCGAACCCTCATGAGCCAATATTGGGCCTCCTCTTCAGAGCCACTTCGTCTTCTCCGTCCCGTAACTTACGGATCAGTTCCTGGGGATCAAAGTCGACACCGATAGGGTTCTCTGCATATTCTGGCGATGCCATCATTGCGCTAGCTTCATCAACAGTGTCGAAGTTTTCGACTTGGGTTTCAAGCTGGTTGCCGTCGGGATCCTGGTAGTAGATGCTGGTCGTAGGGCCGTGGTTGACACACCAAATAGGCAAGATGCCCCGGGCCTTGCGTTGCTCGTACGCTTGCATGAGGTGACCAAGCGAGCTGAACTGGAACGCAATGTGTTCCAACCCGGAAGATGTGGGGATCTTTTCCGAAGTGCCTGGGACGTGCCCAATGGCGAGGCGATGGTGCTCCTCGTCGTACGTCAGAAAGGTGAGCACTTCATTCTCAAAAGTGGCAAAGGCACCAAGAAAGGCCTTGTAGAATTCCACCATGGGCTTGTAGTTTGCGGTTCTGAGAACAACGTGGGCTAGGCCTATTGGAGATTGCACCTTTTCAGACGGGCTTGGGGTAGTGTAGACCATGGTTGCGGTGATGAATCTGTAGCGGATCAAAATTGTCTGGATAAAGATGTGACAACGAGTAATGTCAATGCGCATGGTGGGCATTAGGTAGTCTTTTTTTTGGCATGATATAACAGTATTCCATTCATCGGGGCGCTGGTCTTCCGGAACCTCTGTTACCATGTCTCGGGAAGCTAGTCCCGAGCTCCGAACTGACACCTCGGTCTTGTTTGAGAATGCCGACACGCAGGGCCTCTGCGTCAAAGGGGTAAAATGAACATCAAATTTCAGTCATAGACATTGCCCATAATACGGCTGGATTACGGCTGGGTAGTGGAAGAAGTAACGCTACTTGTAGACGTGCAAATTTCGCTGATGCTAAATCAACAGTTTCACTACGATTTCCAGTGTGTCGGTATTCAATAGATCCCAGGTTTGTAAATAAAAAATACTTGCAATTGGTAGCTCATGTTTATATCTCGACTTTGAAATACCTTCCAGAGTACCGTATGAAAACTGCTCTAACCTTCAAGTCCCTCACTCTCAATCATCTCGCAGTGCAGCCATGAGTGCAGAGGTGTCCTATGATCTAATTAGAGTCCACGTTGGAAAGCCTGAGCTGCACATTACTTACACCCCAGACTTGGTAAAGGCGGAGTTTGGGGTTCGCGGTTTGAGGATCGGAAATGGCAAGGCGGCCTGTAAACTCCCCTTCAACCTGCTTCCCATTTCTCAAGCCCATTGCAACGCGCGCCGTAAAGAGGAGGTCGCTGGCATTGCTATCGCAAACATAGACCTTCAGGACCTCGTGTTTTCGCATGGAAATTACTTTCCAGGCGTTAGCTCGCGAGTTCCGGATTTCTGTTCATGTTAGATCTGGAAATCCATGGCGTTGAAGGCACAAACCCTCTGCACCGCGGAATGGGGTCGCGCCGAAATATGCCACTCCGTCGCTCGCGAATACCTCATCGGCAAGGATGTCTCTAACCCCCGAGTCAGAGTTATCGAGCAGCTGATAAAATCTCTCAATCAATTGCTTCACCGCAGAGGGAACCTCGATGCCAGTTGGCCATTCCGCAGAGTCAATACCGTAGCCCATGTTCAACACGTTGTAATTACTGAATACCCAGTCCCAACACCTTCTGATGTTTGGCCCATTTCCCATTAGCTTAAGAGTTAGTCAAGCTCGGAAGCTTTTGCTCCGGATGACCCGCAAAGCCGCGGATCGAGTTCTTACCCAAGTTCGATATGCTCGGGTCACATCTCTCCTCAATGCCGTTAGAGTGGCGTTTTTTGTCATGTTTTTCTTTCAAAGGTCTGTCCGTAAATGAACTAGGATGCCGTCTCGGAATGTGAAAAACGGTCAGCAAGCAATCTCCAAGAGCTATAGCCTCGGATCCTCTGTCGGACATCTGTTCCGCCACTGCTTCAACCAATTGCTACTGCCAAAATAGCAGACAACTCGGACTCTACATTGGACGTCTTATTCCCGGTAATGGGGTGTGAACAGGCCAATTTGGCATGCTTTGGTACCCGAACTGAGTAACGCGTTACCCCTGTCGTCGATCAGAGGCCGCCCCATATGTACTTTGCTCTTTTTATTTAGAGTAGTGCTATTTGGGCGGTATGGTATTGCTATTCGGGCTGTAGACCCACTTTTCTACTAACACGTGACTGCTATTGCAGGTAAGATCTTCCGGAGTTTAACCATTTCCCCCACTTTTTCTGCACGCTAGCCACGTAACTTCCGCCCAACAGTCACGGCGCCGCAGCGCCACAGCGCGCTGTGATTGCAGCCGCTACAGCGGTCACAGCCCCAAGCCCGCTGTAATTGCAACTGTTACAGCGGTCATAGCGCTGCAACCCACTATAACTGCAGCTATTCTAGCAGTCACAGAGCCGCAGCCTGCTGTAACTGCTGCTGCGCCAGCAGTCACAGCCCCAAGCTGTAGCCCCCTTTACACCCGGCCCTCATCCCCTCACCTGTCTTACTGCTGTTCTTCAGGTCATAGAAATTGTATGTGATTAGGAACTTTATATCGACAGCAGCGGAGACGGCGGAAGGGCGGCGGAAGGGGCATGCTTTGAAGCTGTAGTTGCGATGTGACAGGGGCGTGGAGCACTGTGGCCCCTGTAGCAGCTGTAGTTGCAGCAGGCTTAGGCCGCTGTGACTGCTGTAGCGGCTGCAATTACAGTGGGCTTGGGGCGCTGTGACCGCTGTAGCGGCTGCAGCTGCAGCAGGCTTAGGCCGCTGTGACTGCTGTAGGCGGTTGAAAATTGGGACGAAGTTACGTGACTAGCGCGCAGAAAAAGCGGGTCCAGTGGTTTTCCACGTAAGGGGTCAGGTGAGGGGTCACGTGTACCGCCCGAATAGCAATACCATACCGCCCAAATAGCACTACTCTACTTATTTGACCGGCATGCTTATCATACACGTTAACTAAAAGTAAAGTGCATATTACAGGGGGCACAGCTTGGTATGAGGGATGTACATCCGTCGCATTTCCTGGTGGCTGAGCTTCCCCGTATGTCTCGGCTTCCGACTGAATCTGAGTAATTCCTTGGCTTCGCGGTGATCTCCAGCTTACATTAAGAGTGCAAGAGGGGGACGAATGTAGCTTGCTGAACGGGACTGCCGGGCGACTGACCGAGATGGTGGCAAACCTGAAGTTGATAAAGCGCGGAGTCGGCCTTTGGGACGCCGGCAAGAGCGAGCTGATGCACGATCCGAAGGCCAGACCGGAGCTGAGCGACGTCTTCGGCCTCGACTTCACCAGATTCCCCAGGAGCGCGCGCATTGGAATACCTACGGTACACATCTACGGCTCCAGGGACCCGAGGTGGCCCGCGGGCATTCAGCTCGCGAATTCTGTGACGACAGACTGGAGTACGACCATGGAGGCGGCCATGATATCCCACGGTCTACCGAGGTGTCGAACAAGATTGCAGATATGATCAAGCAGGTTATGAGTTAAATACAAATACCCACAGAGGAATGCAAAGAAGGAAGCATCAAGGATTGAATCGATTGCTCGGTTTGGATTAATAAAAGGACGTGACGATCAATCAAAAGGATCAATCTACTTGGGAGGCAGTGAAAATGGCACCGGCAAAACGGCACGGTCGCCAAAAAGAAGCGGAGCTACCACCGTAGGGATCCGGGGTGTCTTTGCTGAACGCCGAATAAATCCGATAAGTCCGCCAGCGTACGTGATCGATGGTGAGATTCTCTGCAGCGTGCTAGATAGATGACTGTTGGGACAGTGGTGTGACGGCAGCCACTGGGAATAGAAAGAGCGGGAATAGAAATATCAGGAATAGAGATATAAATACCACCCACCTTCTTTCGTTTAGAGTAGAGCCTCGATGTTACTTGGGTCCTAGCGAGCTGTGCTCCCGCTTTAAACCCGGCATAACATCAAAAAGGTGTCATGGCAGGAAACCACTGGCCCAGCCACAGTCACGACGATCCCCGTTGGACAGCTGTCGATGCGTATACGATCCCGCACTCACATCCGGCGCCGCGGCCCAATGCCAAAGTGCTCGAGAATGTGCTGAAGTTATCCACGGCGGCTGGCCTCCCGGACTATTCGCTCTCGCCGGCGCAGGCAAAGTTCCTGGCGCTGCACTGCCGGGCATCAGGAGTGACACTCGCGCTCGAAGTCGGCACTTTGGGCGGATACTCGGCCATCTGGGTGGCGAGTGAAACCCACAGCTACACCTGACAACAGTCGAGTACAACCCTAGACACGTCGACGTGGCACGCAGGAACATTGAGCTCGCAGGGCTGTCGCATCGCATAGAAGTCATTCACGGCGAGAGTGTCGATGTCCTGGAAACGCTGCGTAGCGAGGTCAAGGCTGGGACGCGTCCCCAATTCGGCTTCGTTTTTATTGATGCCGATAAGGTGAACAACTGGAACTACTTCCGACTGGCCAAAGACATGGTCAAGCCAAACTCAGTCATTTGTATGGACAATATCGTGCGCGAGGGAGAGTTGGCGGACCTGAGCATCACCGATCAGGACGTCGTGGCCAGCCGACGCGTGGTTGAGAATGCTGGCAAGGAGCCCGGTGTCGACTCAGTCGTTATCCAGACAGTGGGCGAGAAGAGCTACGACGGTTGGTTGTGGGCTCTCGTCAGCTAATAGGGCCGCTTGTTGGCTCGGGTTGATCATTCTGCGCAATGTTGATATTCATGTAGTAATGGCTTCGCTTAGAAAACAAGGTGACAAGCGTGGGCCGAGTGTTGGTTGTATTGGCGCAAGCCTTGTATGATGTATCACAGCTCGGGCATGATGAAGACGGCAAATCCAATCTCGTATTGTGAATTCACAGGGACATGCCGCATGGTAGTATCATCACCGTCGTTTCTGTTCCCTCGAGTATCTGACCTCCAGTGTGCCGACGACAGATTCTCGTATCGGGCTCTGCCGCTGTAGTTGTTGGCCTCTTATTGCATCTAAAACGTAAACGCCCCCCGCCTTCTTCGCATCATTCTTGCTGAACGAATAGTGGCTTGCTGATGCCCTGCAAATGCAGTCTGCGGGGAGTCAGCACCGGTGGGCCCCGGATCTGCCAAAGCGTATCGTCCGGCGACCGAAATCTCGCGGAAGCGTGTCGGGGATCAAAGATGGGGTTTAACTTGCTCGCCCAGATGACCCATTTCGTGCCGTATCCACTCAGTTACCGGCCCTGACCTGGCACGGCTGGTCCATCGACATGCATCCGCCGTCGATAGTGTCTTGCATCGCCAGCTTAGTGTTTAGTCTCGATTAACCTCGGTGTGATGCGAGTCTCTGTCGCAGTTACCACCATATTGACCAACTTTACGCAAGAACTGTTGGTTAGGGGTGTTATCATCAATCGTTTCGTACACAAATCCTCTCGTGCACAAATTTCATCTTCGCCCAGCCTTTCATCATCGTTATTGATAATACCGACTGATCTTCGCAACTATCCTAGAACTCAAGATGAGCTCCGCTCAATAGACAATGAGTATAACAGAGCTGAACTCCAAGCAACCGAACTTCTAGAGTCAGCATGTTGTTAGGGTTTAATGGAATGGGATGGGATTGGTTTTGCATGAAGCAATAGTGACCACAGTTGATAGAAAGCCGTGGTGTTGACATTCTGACACACTCTCATTGTATATTTGTTCCAACGCGCCGACTACGCAGAGAGAGAGCGACAGGAGGAGCGACAACGCGCCGAGAGAGAGCAGCAACGCGCTGAGGAAGCAGAGGAACAAACCCGGCCCACGACACTTGATGCATACATAGCCGCGTGCCATGAACTCGTCTTCTCCAAATTTGCCGTCGAAACAGACAAAAAAATGACCTCGAAGGGCCATATCACCAATCCGCGTAACAAGTGGTGTCCAACACATCTCAGGCCATGGTCGGACTTCCTAGAACAACAAAGAGCTATCTTTGTCTTTGGTGCACTCTACGACACGTTTCCTACCCAGAGCCGCGCTTTAGAGAGCCGAAGTTTCCTGGCCGGCCTGGGAAACCGAATCTCCCCGCGATCTATAGCAAACGAGAAGACACTCGAGCATTTCCTGCAGAACAGTGTGGAGGATCCAGTCAGAGCGATAATAGAGCAGCTCAAGCAGGTGGATGAGGTCAGCAGTGCTTTCGACATGGGAAATGGCATCATCTTCGAGAATCACCTCCATGCCATCAGCGACATTGCTGAAGAAGTTGTTGCTCGGGAGACTCCTTCGACACCACTACAGACGCCGGACCGCACACGAGACCTCAACCAGCTGCGACCCGATCAGATCTGCGTCTATCGATCCAACGATGCACTTGCGATGACGCGTACTATGGTCTACGTTTCTGAGTATAAGCCCCCCACAAGCTGACCGCTCCGCATCTTCGTCTCGGTCTGCGGGCTATGAACATTCCCAAGGACGTTGTCAATCGAAAAACCATTCCCACTTCTATGGACCCGGACGCGCTTTTCCAGTATCTCGCGGACAGGCTGACAGCGTCTGCCGTCACGCAGACCTATCATTACATGATTGAGGGAGGCCTTGAGTATGGTCTTCTGACCACTGGCGAAGCGATTGTGTTTCTCAGGGTCGACTGGGAGGAACCGGAAACGTTGTAATTATTACCACCTAGCAGAACCCAGCCCCGAGGTGTCCGCCCACCACTTCCACCGTCATTGCCGCTCTCGCCCATTTTAGACACAAGAGCCCGTCAGTTAAAGACCACTGTCGATCTGGGCTGGGATGTTCGTCGACGTCCACGTGCCCCACTGGCGGCAGGTCTCAGCGACGACGTTGGGGATCCTGAACTTCTCGACCTTGTCCGGGTTCGTGAGGAACTGGATCAAGAGGCCGGCGGAGACGTGCCAAGCAATGTGGCAGTGGAAGGGCCAGACGCCTAAGAAGCAAGGTTGTTAGCGAGAGAGAACCCGAGAGAGTCAAGATCAGGGGTAAGTAGCGCACCTGGGTTATCGGCGGCGTCGAACTGGATCACCACATGGCCTTTGCCACGGACCTGGATGACGTCTCGTCGCTGGGGGTTATTTCGGTTGATGATGGTGCCGTCCCACGCTCCGTCGCCCTCGTGGAGGATGTACATGTTGAAGCCGTGAAGATGCATAGGATGACTGCGTGTCAGTTAAGTTAGCATAGTTCTTTATCTTGCCGAGAAATGGGTCAACTTACGGGAAGGGAGTGCTGTTGATGACATTGACTCTGACACTCTTGGCCTTGCCAGTATTCCTCACGTTCCACTGCTCTTCGAAGTCATCTTCTCCGAGCTTGGCAAGTAGCAGGGTAGGGCTGTTGTAGTTGGCGCGGAAGTCAATACCGTCAAACGAGAACAGGCTGTTGCCACTCTCGTTGACGAAGAGCTTGACCTCGAAGTCATAGGTTAGTTCAGGGGCAGGCAGGGGCAGCTTCATCAATGGGACGGTCTTGGCCAGGTCGTCGTTGACACAGGTGCCGGGGTCGGGAACATCCTAGGCGGTGGACTTGGGTTCCTTGGTCTGGTCGGCTTTGTTGTAGTAGACGGCGGCCAAGGCGTTGGGCTGGCGGGCTAGACTGCAGGGGACGGAGATGTTGGCACGCATCCAGTAGGCGTCAAGCTGGCCGTTGGCCTTGACCAGGACGTCGGTGCGCTGACCGATGCCCAGGGTGACGACCTTAGTATCGTAAGGTTCGACCTGGACGAAGTCATTGGCGATGACAGTCATGGTGTGGCCGTCGATGGAAAACCGCTGCAGGGCTTCCGCGCCTGTATTGATGAGACGCAGACGATGGGTTTTGCCACGCGTGAACTTGAACTTGGAGAGGCCGGCCTGGCTGTTGCAGGGGGTTGGGTCGTCTGCAGAGAGCGTGGAGCAGTTGAAGTTGTTCTTTCCGTTGATGAGGTTGTTATTTGAGAAGATGATACCGCCGCTGGGGCTCATGACGGTTTCGACGAGGTCAAAGTACTCATCGTGATACCAATCACTGACCATGACAGGACCGATATCAATATCGTAGTCTCGCTTATCACGAGGGCCGTGGATGACCATGGGACCGACGAGACCAGCAGCGTATTGAGCAGAGTAGTGAGAGTGATACCAGCTAGTGCCATACATCTCAGCGAGGAACTGATATGTGAAGCTCTTGCAGGGGGCGATGGGGCATTGGCTGATGCCAGGGACACCATCCTCCCAGGGCGTACCCGTCTGGAGGAAGCCATGCCAGTGCAGGGCGACGCCCTCATCTTCGATCTCGTTGTGGACGGTCACTTGGATGGTGTCACCCCAGTTGGCCTCGATGGTAGGGCCGGGGAAGGCCCCGTTGATGAGGATGGCAGACAGCTCGTAGCCATCAGGGGCGATGGTACCCCGCTTGATGGTGAAGTCATACCTCCTGATGACACCCGTATTGGGATGGGTCTTGTAGTAGTTGGTATGGGCATTCAACTTGCTCCAAGGATACCCATTTGGGGTGGGGTTGTTGGTCATGAAGTATGGGAGCGTAAGGGCATCAAACGTTCCCAAGACAGACTCGCTGTAGAGAGGGCTTAATACTTGGCCATCATATAGGAGAACAGACAAGGAACAGGTGATGAACATACCCATTGGTTTGGGACTGGCTCAAACCTCCTCCAAGAGAAGTATCAGAGTAGTGGCTCAAGTGGAGAGTAGCTTGAGATTCTAACTGGGAAGGGGCTCCCCAGGGGGCGGCGTTACCCATTTTCAAACGAGTGATGGAGTGGAACGATCGACGAATCCCAAAGAGTGTGGACTGAGGGTGCTGGAATAAAACCTCCCATCTTCACGGCGGGATCCCACGGCCTTTATATGTCGTGTGCTCGTTCAGAAGCAACAGTCGAGGCGAGCCAAAGAGGCTGACGTTCCAAGACCCAGGCATAACGCATTTGCCGAACAGCCGTGCCCAATTCCTACTAGCACCACACAGCTCATCTCAAGCCAAGGCGTGACGGTACGTATCTGGGCGCTCAGTCGAGCTCCTAGAGGACATCTCTGAACATGGACCAAGTACGCAGGTGGATAGGCGAGGAGTTGTTGAGCGGGACGGCCTGGATGTGGGGCATCAAGCATAGCTCAGGTACAGCTGCAAAGCAGGATGACAGTCAGCACACCAAATGCGAGAAAAGGCCACTCATAAAGGCCTAATGCCGCCTATCAGGCGGCTGGATTCTATCTCATCGACCCATATCGCAGTGGCCGAGGTTGTAAAGGTGTGGTGGCTTCAGCCTTAGACGCGGGCGTAAATAGTAACAGGATCGGCAATCAGGGTCAGGGGATTGAGAGGGATCCGTTGAGAATGGCTACAGAATGCACAAGGCCCTTCGCGGAGAACCGACGTGAGGTCACACTCCTCGGATCTCCAGGGAAGGCCCATGGACATGGAGAGTCCGAGTTAACAGTGACTCTGATGGTGTGCCCCATGGTGGTGGGAACTGTGGGATCGCTTGAGCCGTTCCTGACACTAAGTAAAGTAAAGAAGCAAGGTGGACCCAATAGGAGGTCTCACTTAGTAACTCGAACGCGAACAGGATCCGCGTTGGGTGAGATCCGCCCTCGCCCGGGGCAGACTTGCCTATCCTGATATGCTATCCTGATATCATCTCTGCTATCCTGCTATATCCGATATGATATATATCGGATATCGGATAAAGCTAGGCTCCCTTATCCTGATATCAGGATAGATATCAGGATAAACTGCCGGCTCTGATGGCCAGATTTCATATTACCGGCTGATAAGATCCGATCTTTCCGTGTTTGCAGTCTTCAAATCTCTCAAACTTTACCGCCTGACTCAAGTGCGTAGATAGAACATGTTCTCTTACTTCGAGCCTCTACTATCCTTAATTATGGCCTCTTCATCACAGCAACCTGCGGATTGCACCTCACAGTCCCAGATGAGCATTGATCCTGCTGTTGATGCAGAATCAGCACCATCTGAGGTCCTGAACTTCGATTGCATATTCCGCGCGACATATCTGCATAAGGGCTAGTTAGGACCATCAGGGAAGCGCAGAACGAAGGGAGCAGTAGTCTATGAATGTCTCCTCTGTTACTCTGATCAGACCTGGTCAGATCCGAAACGAGACAACGCCATATACCATGCGAAGCGCAAACACAGCGATATCATTAACTCTTCGGATAATACGATACCCGAACGGTCATCAGACATCGGTCCTCCATTAAAGCAAGCTGGGCTCGGCGATTATTATACAGCAAACCCATCAGAATCAGCCCTCCGTAGAGTGTTCAATCCCTAGCGCTATACTGAGAGCATGGTTGCCCTTCTCACACGTCGTCGACTACCCTTTTCGTCAGTTACATGGGATGAGATGCAGGGCATCATACTAGCCTGTAATCCCGCTATTGAGAACCTTATCATGACATCACGACATGAAGCAATGCGTCATATTACTGCAAACTTTAGCCTATATCAGTCGCAGTTGAAGGCTAAGCTACAGAGCGCCGTTTCGAAGGTCCACATCTCATCTGATCTCTGGACATCGCCACATCGCCATGGTGTACTAGCAGTATGTGCACGATGGATTGACAAGGATTACCAGCCTAGGAGAGCACTTCTGAGTCTTCTAGAGATTCGACACAGCCATTCTGGTGAACATCAGTCTCGACTTATCTTCTCAACACTCGTCCTTTACGGCATCACGAATCCACTCGGCTGCCATACTGGCGATAATGCGACGTCAAACGACACGTGTTTGCAGCATTTGTCAACCAGGCTTAAGCGGGATCATAATGTACGTCATACTCCTGTCTTATTCCCGTATCTAGTCGTCTAATCTATAGTAGATCAACTGGGATCCGAAACGGCACCGTATCCGCTGTATCCTTCATATTATCAACATATCCCTTCAAGCCTTTCTTTTCGCGTCTTCACGTGAAGCACTTCAAGCCGCCCTTGGTGCTGCTAGCGACGTCACTGGTGATGAGCTCTACGAACGGTTCTATCTCGTCTTGCACGACGCGTCTGGTGGTGATACATCAAACCAGCCAGATCAGACGCGAGCTCAGACGAGACGCCCTGGCGGCGTCGCATCCAAAAAGGCTTCCGTTCAACAGGGAAATCCTCCATCGAGAACAGATAATAGATTAGACAACACCACTAGTAGGAAGGGCTGGTTTATGATTCCTGCCCTGCGCAAACTACACCGGATCGGGCTGTGGCTACGTAATTCAGCTATCCACAGTGATGCATGGGATGAGCGCATCAAACTACGACTCGGTATTGATAATGATACGCGCTGGAATTCATGGTATAGGATGATCGATAATCTAATGAGGAAAAAGCAGCAAGTAAAGCAGTTCCTGCTTGAATATGACAAGACTCTGGGTGATAATATTCTCACCTCTTCAGATTGGGATTACCTAGAGAAAACACACGCATTTCTCCAACCTTTCACATCTACGACTTTGTGGGCTCAAGGCGCGACGACGACGCTCTCGCAAAACCTTATTATCATGGATATACTACTTCGCCATTACGAGCAGAAGTAGGTATTATCTCATCTTTTCATCTAACTAAACCAATTACTAATCAACTCTTTAGGAACTCTATGAAGCAGAAGAGACATATGATCCTCTCATGCTGCACTCGATTGATATGGGCTGGTTCGTACTTGATAAGTACTATACTATGTCTGAGGAGTCACCTATCTATGCAACTGCCCTCCTCCTCGATCCGTCGAAGCGAGCGCGATACCTTGAGATACACTGGAAGGAGGAATGGGCGGCGACTGCCATTACGCACGCACGTACAATCTGGGAGGAAGAATACAAGATGGCGCCCGCCCTCGGACCTGCCCAGCCGCTGAGCAAAGCATCTAGCTCGCAGCAGGGACAGCCAAACGAGCTTGATCGGCTTCTGGACGAGATGATGGTCGCTGAGGACATAACCAGGGACGTAGATGACTTCGAAAACTTTATCCGCACCCAGCCGATAAAGATTGAAGGCTCTCCTCTTATCTGGTGGTGTCAGAGGGATCAGATTCGGACATATCCGCGTCTCAGTCGCATGGCCATCGATATACTATCTGTCCCCCCTGGTTCTGCTGATCCCGAGTCAGCATTTAGTGGATGGAGACGTACTTTATCATGGGATCGCGAAAGGATGTCATGCGCTAATTTGGAGAAGGTTGAATGTATCGGTAACTGGCTGCGTGAAGGACTCATTATACCATCATCACGTGGTGGTAGAGGGCTCATCGTGGACGGTGAAATAAACGGTAGTCTTCGGGTTGATTCAGATGATGATCTAGATTAGGATCGAATGAAATATTGCCCTTTAAGCTATGTATCTATTTTTATATCATCTCTGCTAAAGCTGCTAAAGCTACTAGCCTGATATCATCTCTGCTATCCTGCTAAGCTGATATCATATCAGGATAGTGTGTTATCCTGATATCAGGATAATTTATCATATCAGATATGATATCAGGATAGGCAAGTCTGGCCCGGGGACTTCTGGTCCTGCAGATATGACCTAGCGCCAAGTCATCACGTATCTTCGGCGAGTTGCACGGATACACACTACACATGTAGCGTTAGAATCTGGGCTATGTGTGATTCAGGTATAAGGCAATCGAACATACGCCCCATACCAGGCCGTCCTGGCCCCTTGGCCCTGTTCGAAACCGACCGGTACCGCGACTGGTGGTCGATCTGGAGTCCGGGCCTGAGATGTCTATCGTGATTGGCGTGGGTGGAGGACATGCAAGGCCCAGGGACCCCAGCATGGTCTCACAAAAGGCAGAGAGGCCACCATCAGCCATCCCGTAAGCCTATCGTAGCATACATGGGCAAACCGTTTAAACGGTCGAATTTTTCCTCAAACGTTTGAACGGTTCAAAAATATTGCAAACGATTAAACGAACGAATAAACGATTTAAACGAACGAATGAACGATTTATGACGGTGAGAAATATCCACCGCGCCTGCTCTAATACCAGTCGAAATAATGCCTACTATCATCGTCAACGTCCCGAGAGTCACCCTCCGGCCGTGGGATTCCGATTAGACCCATCCCATTCTCATGCAGAGGCCGTATGAGTCCTTGACGCAACCAATTGCCCGTATATTTAATTATCTCGATAGTTTTATATGTGATTCGCAATCTATCCCATGAACATGTTCTTCTTGCCCCAGAAAACGTCCTCTCCGGCTCTGATGACTCTACTGGGATAGAAAGAATATAAATAGCTATACGGCTAAGTTTCGGATACTGCTTTCTCTGCTGTGGTTGATACCACCACTCCAGAGGCGTATAATCCGGAGGGATATCTGTTGCATCAACGTTGATGAAGCTAATGAAATCATCCCTAACACTCGCGTTAATAGTCCTAACCTCTAGCTTCTTTGATAGTATTGCGAGTTGATTTGGCTTCTTTGCCAGCGGTGGTGGCATCGACGTGGGGGTGGAGGGATGGTCGCTGGGTTGCTCGTAATTAAATTCCTTTTGCCAGAATGCTGTGGCTGAGGCAATAGTATCTTTATGCCATTCCTTTGGCTAGTTCTGCTTGATATATGCGATGCGTTTATAGGGATCAAGGAGGAGAGCGGCGGCGTATACGGGAACCTCGTCAGTTAGGCGGAAGTATTTAGAGAGGATAAACCATCCCATATCGATGGCTCGAACCATCCGTTCGTCGGAGTGTTCATCCGACTGATATATCTTCTGATACAATGTTAGTAATCGACTTGATGTGGATAGATTGAAGGGTACCTTTTGTTCTTCGTAATGGAGTAATAACATATCCATCAGTATCAACGATTGTGAGATAGACGAGTTATCTCCCTCTGCATACAATGTTGCTGAAGAAAATGGCTGAAGAAACGTATGTGCTTTGCCTAGCAACTCCCAATCTCCAACTAATAGCCAATTGTCTCCGATGGCCTCTTTGTGATCAGATATAAAGGACTGGATTTTGTCCTTCTTTCTAATTGCACGATTAATGACCTAATACCAGGACGACCAGCGGGTACAATTATCCATCCCTAAACGCAGTCCCACTGCCTTATCCTATGTATTCTGGTGGAGGCTTGATGATGTTAGCCACACAGCTAAGCCATGAAGCTTGCGTAATGCAGGGACATTCTCAACGCCGCTAAAGTCGTCAGCCTATATCACGGACGTATTGCTAGCCGTGCTGCCCTTGCGCTTGTGCTTTCTGGCCGGCTCTCCGTTCTTTCTTTTTGCTGTATTTCGTTCGGCGGCAGCCTTCTTTTGATGAGAGGCTAGGACCTCGGAAAACTGGGAGAGAAGCTCCTCTCCAGTGGACACCGGATGCTGACTCGAGTGCTGCGACTAGAGCCTCTTTAGAAGATGCGAGAAGGAAGGCTTGAAGGGAAAGATTAATGATATGCGTGATACAGCGTATACGACGTCCTTTTGCGTTGAATTTAATCTACTCAATGTCAGCCTATAGCCTAAACTGCGTAGTTAACTAACCTTGTGTCTACTTATTAGCTTGCGTTGTATAGACTCAAGACATGTGTCGTTTGATATCGCGTTGTCACCTGTGTGCCAACCAAGTTTTGACTGTATCCCGTACTTCTCTGAAGTATCGATAACAGCCTGCGCTTGAGCTTCTCCAGAATGACTCTCTGTACATTCTGGTAGAGATAGTAGTGCCTTATGAAGCTTGTAGTCTTTATCTACCTATTGTGCACATACAGCAAGTAGAGAATGTCTATGCGGTGATGTCTAGAGGTCTGTTGAGATATGAATCGGACTTGACGCAGTGGTGAGACTGTTCTTGATCTCGCTGCTGTAAAAATCATAGTTTGCTGCAATATATCGGACCATCATACGCTGTAAGGTAATAAGGGAGTCTTTAATATATGGGTTACACGCGAGAGCTAGTTATTAAAACTCGTCCCATTCAATAGCCGAAAAGGGCACTCTCCGACGCGTGAGTATGCTGATTAATGCTTCCTGATATACTTGCGGGTTGAAGGCATTTCGAAGTGCATCCTCGCTTGCTACAGGGCGAAAATGTGCGG